ACTAGGGAATTCGGGAACTAGGGAATTTGGGAACTAGGGAATTCGGGAACTAGGGAATTTGGGAACTAGGGAATTCGGGAACTAGGGAATTTGGGAACTAGGGAATTCGGGAACTAGGGAATTTGGGAACTAGGGAATTTGGGAACTAGAGAATTTGGGAACTAGGGAATTCGGGAACTAGGGAATTTGGGAACTAGGGAATTCGGGAACTAGGGAATTCGGGAACTAGGAAATTTGGAAACTACAAAATTTAGGAGCTAGGGAATTTTGGAATTAGGGAATTTGGAAATTTGGAAATTTGGAAATTTGAGAATTTGAGAATTTGAGAATTTGGGAATTTGAAAATTTGAAAATTAGGTGAAATTAATATCGCTCTAAATTAATTGCGTAAGCAAGTGTCAATTTTTGAACGCTCGTACAATTGCAGTTAATTAGAGTACACAGTAGATAGACGCATTGTTATAGGAACATCGAACGCGTTAAGAATGCACGCGAACTATCCGGTGGTATATCAAATACATTTCAATAGGCTATTCGGCAGGTGAGTTTGATCGAAATTGCCTCGTAACCGCTTTACGATACCAGACACCATGGAAAATATGAACTATTCCGTACCGGTCGAAAAAGCCCGCTTCACCGTTCCGTTGCGGGGCTGACACATATAATCTCTTATTTTACAGTCTTCCCAGGTGTTCCGATTGTTTCTCGATACATTTAAGGCAGCCAATGTTCAATTGTTTCCCGATATACAAACTTTACACTTCCCCTCGAGGAAAACGAGCAAACGAGAGACAGACTGAAGAACTACCTAACCATTATGGCGTAATATATATCGATATCCGTCGATACTATCGTGCACGCTGTTGCATTAAACAGTGAACGGAGTAAGGGGAGCTTCTGTGAACTTTGTAATCGATTTGCAAATTTTTAAGCACTTCAAATTTTCAAATTTCCAAATTTCCAAATTTTCAAATTTTCAAATTTTCAAGTTTTCAAATTTTCAAATTTCCAAATTTCCAAATTTCCAAATTCCCTAATTTCCAAATTTTCAAATTTTCAAATTCCCTAATTTCCAAATTTTCAAATTTCCAAATTTCCAAATTTCCAAATTCCCTAATTTCAAAATTCCCTAGTTTCCAAATTCCTAAGTTCCCAAATTTCCGAATTTCCAAATTCCCTAGTTTCCAAATTTCTTGGATCCCGAATTCCCTAGTTCCCGAACTCCCTAGTTCCCGAATTCCCTAGTTCCCGAATTCCCTAGTTCCCGAATTTCCTAGTTCCCAAATTCTCTAGTTCCCAAATTCCCTAATTCCCGAATTCTCTAGTCCCCAAATTCTCTAGTTCCCGAATTCCCTAGTTAGCAAATTCTCTAGTTCCAAATTCCCCAGTTTCCAAATTCTCTAGTTCCCGAATTCCCTAATCCCCAAATCCCCTAGTCCCCAAACTCGCCAATCCCCAAATTCCCTAGATCCCAAACTCTCTAATTCCCAAATTCCCTAGATCCCAAATCCCCTAGTCCCCAAATTCTCTAGTTTCCAAATTCCCTAGTCCCCAAATTCCCAAGTCTCCAAACCTCAAAATTTCCAATATTCCCAAAATTCTCAAAATTCCTAAAATTCCCAAATCTCCTATTTCTCATCTCCCTAAATTCCTAAACCATCAAATTCCTCTTCCACCATCCTCAAATATCAAAATTCTCCAACATCCGAATCCATAAATCCCCAGAACCTTAAATTTCAACTTCGCAAGCAACGAAATCTCCATATTTCAAATCACGTATAAATAGAAGCGGAAATATTTGCAGTAGCCGAGGGTCTCGGAAGGTCTTAATCCGGCACTGGCTCAATCTCTCACGATATCGAACCGAAACGAAACAAACACGGACAAAGGTGTACAGCTCAACTTCCATTTATCAATCTTCGGATTCAACGTCTTTGTGCATCGGAACGGAGCTGTTGATAAATCTGTTGATTCTGATAGAAGCAAGGAGCCTGTAATTGAATCCGGAGATTGAGAAATATGCAAATGCCCCTGTCCCTTAACGGAAAACTTATTTAAATGAGAATAAAGATTTGCGAACGCATCCCTTTCGCGCCCTCTGTCTCGCTGTTTGTTCCGCTTAATCCGTTCGTTATTAAAGATAACACCCCTTTAGATTGATCGCCGTGTGCGGAGCGGCAATAAATAAAGAAATAAATAAGGATATAACCCGGGAAGGATTAAAATAAACAGAACCGGATAGAATAATACGAATGATGAGATCTAATTGAAAAATCTGTCATCTCCCATATTTGTTCGCGGCTTTTGAATTTTTTCAGCGCTGGACAACGCGTCAAGGCGAGAGAATTTTAATTTAATTTCTCGACTCTTCTTTAGTTTTATTTTTTGAATTTCACACTACACGTTTAAATATTATTCCGCCGATATATTCGTCGTTTAATTAAAATTTTCACTGCCTAATTTTAATCGAACGAACTTTATATACGCTCCGTAGATGTGGGCCACGATTAAACCATGCCGGTCGAGGGTTAATATTATCGGGGCTGATATTATTCTTTCCTCGACTTACAACGATTGTTACACTGCAGATTGGATCGACTCGCGGTCTCCATTTTATAATCTTCGAACTGTTTCAAAAATATATTTTCCACTTTCCTCTACGTTTTCGCTTATGCGGTTTACGATGAATTTTAATCTCGGCTGCCCTACATCTTACATAAATATCATTTTATTCGTCAAACTTTCGTCGGAGTTTAACTATGATAAATCTTGTTCGAGTTTAGTTACCCTATGATTTATTTGTACGGTGCGTCAGAACTGAACTACAATATTAATGCATACAAAGAGGGTTGAAATTTTTTGTATTCAATCCACCATTGTGTAAATTATAATTGAACTTCAACACTAGAAGTATATTAGAAGTTCGAGTAAGATTTGTCACAGTTGTGCACTTATGAAAATGATGCAGGGGGTTGAAACCAACGACTGAAACCAACGCACGAGAACAGTTAATCCATTGCGTGTCATAAAAGAAGTAAAACTTCACAACAGTAACTAGATTGTGTACTGTTATAACTTGGCCGTAGGATCATATAGCGTTCATCGACATGGGTTAACGATCGGACTCATAATCTAAAGGGGTTAAAGGGTGCAGAAAACGCGACTGACAGTAAAAATCATTTACTGCGTTATTACGAGCGATCACTTAATCGAACAAAGTCCATCGTTTCTCTTGTGAAGGAGCACGAGATCCTTTTATAAGAAATCCCTAGATTTTCCAAATCCCTAAATTTCCAATATCCTATGTTACCAATTCTATAGATTTCGAAATCCCTAGATTCCTTAATTCCTATATTCTGAAATCACTAGATTACCAAATTTCTGCGTCTCTAATTCCCTAGATTCCCAAATCCCTAGATTCACAAATTCCTACGTGCCGAATTCCCCAGATTCCCAAATTCCCACGTCCCGAATTCGTTAGATTCCCAAATTCCCATGTCCCGAATTCCCTAGGTTCCCAAATTCCCACGTCCCAAATTTCCTAGATTCCCAAATCCCCACGCCCCGAAATCCCTAGATTCCCGAATTCCCGTGTCCCGAATTCCCTAGGTTCCCGAATTCCCACGTTCCGAATTCCCCAGATTCCCAAATTCCCACGTTCCCGATTTCCTACGTCCCGAATTCTCTAGATTCCCGAATTCCCACGTCCCGAATTCCCTAAATTCCC